TTACGTTAATCTACGTTGCCAAGCTACATCTATGGGGAACAACTCACTAGACACTTCCCTCTCAAAACTAATGTCGTCCAATTTACGACGTCATCCAGTTGCGAGGGCATGTTTGAATCTCCTGAAAAGACGTTATGATAGAGCAATGCTTTATCGTGAAATAAACCGCGCTTCGTTCTTCATTGTTCTTTGCGATTCATCAATATAAGGACGCCATGTAATCTAAATGTAATACACAATGGCATTAATGCCACTACGACTCTTAAAATCTTAACCAAAACTGCAAACAATCAAATATCTACACCCCTAAACTTAAAATACCCAAAATAGACACAACACTAGCTAGCCAAATAAATAAACAAACCGACCCAAACATAGCTAAAACTAACACACTAGCATACATACACGAAAATTGGCCAAATTTGTGTCACATTTACACGGACGGATCCTCAGATCCGACCTCCAAACACACAGGTTTCGGAGTCCATATCACACAACCAACTAAAACCACACAATCCTTCCGACTCCCAAACAACCAATCAATATTCACGGCAGAACTAATGGGCATGGCCTCAGCCCTCCATAATCAAGAATCCAAAAAACACAAACAAAATCCTAATACTTACCGACTCCCTAAGTGGACTGCAAGCCCCCCAAAACAAAAATACCAAAAACCGACCTAAATTAATAAATCAAATACTTAAAAGCTCCAACGACCTAACTAAGGCAGGCAAACAAATAACCTTCTTGTGGATACCCGCCCACGTAGGAATATACGGTAATGAAAACGCCGATAAAGCAGCTAAACTATCCCTCAAAATCCCAGAAATAAGCTTAAACTTACCCATCTCAAAATCAGAAATTAAAAGTGTAAACAAGCAAAAAATCACAAAAAATGGCAAAACCTATATCTAAACTCAAATAGCCAAATAAAAAAGTAATCACTAAACTCCAAACAGGACACACCAACCTAAATAACCACCTAAAAAAATAAAAAAACACACTACAGGTAACTGCCCACACTGCAAACAACAAGAAACCCTAGAACACGCACTCATCCACTGCACACACTACCTAACACATCGAACCGCATTAAAAACCACCCTCAATCTAAACAAGGCTCTCACTCTAGAAGCAATACTAAACCCACAAAATAAACTAGAAAACTTCAAGGCCTTAGGCGTATTCTTAATAAAAACGGAACTAATAAAACGCATCTAAAACACAATAACCTACCAAATCAAAATCACATAAACAAACAAACATCCACCATACCCAGCTCCCTTAGTTCTCCTCCCCAACCCCATCGGCATCTATTCCAAATCTCAAAATTCCCAAATTCTATATAAGCAACCACTAAAGCCCGCTTTTGGGTTGCACAGACCACTTTCGCCCCTTTCGGAAACACATTAAATGGCCGGGCCGGGCCCGTGTGCGAAATACGCATCAGTCGGAAAGCGCACGTTAAATCTCCAAAGTAAGAAAGTAAGTAAGTAAATACGACTCTATGAACCATACCCGAGTAGGCTTCCCATGAGTGAGTTTGTGAAATGTTATCCAATCTCCAAAACGAAATGAGGACACAATGCCTTTCACACTGTGGTTCTTGAACCAATGCCATCTAAAAAATAAACTCTTCTGACCTATTCAGTGAAGTAACATTATAAATATGTTGATGCAACTCTGCCTGGTGAGTAGGTTAAACAAGAAGTAAATATCGGGTGGTGAGACACAACGAGCATCCCACTATCGACGAGTGGATACACACACGACTCGTTTTGTGTCGGTACACTTGTAAGTAACGTCATGTCCTAATACACTTTAGTAATACTAACAGATCAATATTACTGAAGTAGCTGGTGCTGATACCCATATACTAAAGAAAATACTTACCTATAACAAGGCTCAGACTGGCAATGAAAAGCACAGCACTGTCGAACACCGCCATTGTGGCGCACTGCTGCACAGACCAGGAAGGAGAACGAGATTATGTTTCTATTTATATATGTTCGAAACCACTCATTGCACAAAAGAGAGAGTCGTTGATGTCGGACTGAATGACAACTTGCTTCCCCTATGATATTAAACCTATCTAATGACCCTGAACATGCCATTTGTGACGACACAAGTATCGTTACAAGGTAAACAGTTGTTATCTGTATGTACGCGTGTGTCCACCGGGTAAAAATAACCATGCACTGCAATGCATTAAAAGACAGGTAACTCATTGCGAGGAATACAGACAATATACACTCTTCAAAACAAGAAACGCACAGGTCGATTTTGAGTAAGTTTATTGTACCTAATAAAGTCGATATATTTAATTTAATATTTCAGATACAAATATGACATTTTGGAGCTCGATAGTCACATGCTGTCGATGTACAAAGGCATTGAAAAATGCTCATTGTCATGTTACATAAGGCCACATGGCTGTGCTGAACTCAGTATCTCCTGTGACCGCCCGGGCAGCAATCACGGCTCTGCATCTCCACGGCACTGACTGAATAAGTATTGGAATTCTGTCCTGCGGAATTCTGCGCCATTCTGCTTGTAACGCGTTGGCTAGTTGTGGGAGTGTCTGCGGCGTGTTTTGACGTTGACGTACACGGACACGCCTGTTGAAACAGCTCCCTCGGGTGGTGAATGATTGGAAGAAGGTGATGTTGAAGAATTTGATTCATGTAACGATTTGCTGTCCAATTTCCCTGAACCACAACCAAGTCCGATCTCCTGGTATAGGATATTACCACCCACGCCATGACACTACCGTCACCGAAATTGTCGAATTCATATACACAATGTGGGGCAAAACGCTCATTTCGACACGTTGTCTTCCATCTCGCGGGTGAAGAAGAAATTGTGATTCCTCGCTAAACCACACTCGTCTCCAGTTTCTCAAATTCCAAGGCTGTAAGGTATGGCACAAACGCAAGCGTCGCTGTCGATGGATCTGTTGCAAAACAGGGACGATAACTGGTATTCTGGTGCGGATTCCAGGCTCGCGATGATAGTTCCCGACAGTCTGGTCCGATATCCTCCTCAAACCAGAGATGCGTCCTGCAGTCTCCGTAGCTATGATATTGCGATAACGTACGTGGAACAGTCGATTGTAGCGATCCTGTGCAAGGGTGGTAATTCTTGGTCGGACGGTTCTCGGACGGTCTGCAGTGGGATTGAATTGTGTGTATCGTTCATAAATATCGGCGGCAAATGGTGCTGTGGTGGGCGTTGAAGTGGCGTGCAACAGAAGACTGCGATTCTTTGGATACGTCCTATGACGATGTTCCGATCGGCAGCGCTGAGTCTCGACTTTTTCGAACTTGTTGACAATTGAATGACAAATTATTGGCTTATGCTTGCCTTTTTATAGCCACTACCACTAGTTACGAATGTCATAACTTGCACGTGCATTTTGCTTTACTGTTTTCCTCCATGAAATGTTTGAACAAGTGTGAAAACAATGCCGTTTAAGACATTCCAAATTGACAATGGCTGCGTTTTGATCAGGCCAGCAACATTTTTAAATAACATATATCCAATTTATATACCGGATTTTATTTAGTAGTCAGGTTCAATCAACTACATACTACCTGGGTTTTTTTTAAAGAGTGTATATACTTGAAACAAGTGTATAAAAGTTATTTCAAAATTATTCAATCGATCTGTCATTTATGTTGGGATTTAGGTGTGATATCTGCAGAGTGCAAACCATATTTGTCTAGAGATGTACATATTATACATAAACGTCTATGTACGTATGAATACTATGTATACATGTATAACATCGGTGCTCATCTTATATTATAACGCTGATAACTTCGAGTATTGTAATGTTGTTTTGTGTGTGTGAGGGAATACCGTAAAGGAACCTGGTCCTTTTTGTGCTAATGATTGGGCATCCGACGGTTACAAAGCTGGGCCTGCCAGATTGTGTACCATCGATGTCGAAGATGCTCACCATGTCAGCTGCTGCTTTGTGTTGCCCAAATCGATTTCTTTCAGGCCGTCTTGAAATATCCTGAATGCTCGTGTGGAAAACAAAATTCACGTGTTGATTTGAAATTGACCGACTTTTAAAACACAACATCATAAACAATATTGTTGTGAATATTTCTGACACAATTTGTGCAAGGTTTATGGACATTTACGAAGCTGAAATATGGCAATATCAATAACTGTAGACTGAACGGGATATTCCTGCTACCAAATGTGAGTCTCCCCCGTGGTGAATCACCTGTTCCAATTGAACTATTGACTCAACTCAACTGTTAATACGCTATTGTGTCACTGGATTTTGGTCGTCTGGTTTCTTTACAGGTTGCTGTCGCATGGCAGGAGTACTGCTGTGCGGCGCAAGGCAGCAAACAAACACTAAATTTATGTTGATCCATGTTGTGTGTGTGGCGGATAACTACCCGTATGCTTATCCTTTTCAGAAAAAAAATGTTGCCATCACTGATTCATTTGAATGGTTTTAAATGTTGTTTTGCCTTTTGCAGTCACGGGAATCTGTTTCGGCGGATAATCGACACTGGTTATTCTCTGTGGTGGACGTTGTATATTTACTGTAAACTTGTCAGCTTACATACATCATGACAAAGTATATACATATGAATAATAAGTGTTTTATTCAATCTAGGCCTTTATATCAAAAAGCACATTAAACGCAGTCAAACCAAGTTGTCTCTAACTCGAATGTGTCGAATTTCTGGCTGTGTCGAACTATATTTCTTATTATTTTAACCCGCTATTATGTCGAACTGGATGTGTGAAATTCCCGTTAGTCTTGAAATCAGTTAATAGTCACATCAGTTGAAAATATAAGTCGACCTCGAAGTTGATAATCAAGTGATAGACTATAAACATGAATATTATTAACATAACATGCATGATGTGATACAATTGCTTTCTGATGACTAGGTCAAGACAGTAATATGATCGAATCGTATGTGTCTCCCCCCCCCCCCCCCCCCCCCCCCCCCAAAAAAAAACAACAACAAAAAAACAAAAAAAACAAAAGAAAAAACACTCTTTGTTTGATCCACAGTAGTTCGAGACAACGAGTTTAGCTGTATTCAACATATACAATCAATTCATTTGAAAGCAAATTCTTGAAATCGTGAATCACTAATCGAGGAAAAAGAAGCATGCAGGTTCATTTGTACAGTCGGAGAAATGAAAGACTACATGTTCAAAATCACACATCAAAATATGAATAGACGTCTGATAAAGACAGTGACCATGCGTATTCCAACGGAGATGTGAAATGTCTCAGCAAACACATGTATAAGGATAATGTCAATGTTAATCAATTGGTGTCATATGGTGACAAAAATCCCCAAACCATCTTTCTATGTAACAAATGTTATACTCAGGCCTACGCTCTCTTTGGAAAGTACAAAGTCTCGTACGTCTTGGGTTCCGCCTTATCCGGGACTCGAACCATCACTCCCTGGGTGGGGTACCTAATCGCGAGCACACAAAGTCAGGGATCTAACCCACACAACCACCGAGGCTTCCACACACAAAATTAAAGTCCGACGACTGGTAGTCAAGATCACAAGGTAACTTTGTGTACCTCTCTGAGAAGTGTAAATTCGTTCGAGATATTACATTTGATCACTTTCTAAATCGCAAAGTGTATTCACATCCTGCTATGTGATGTAAATGCATGTACATGTCCGGTCAAACTGAACTACGAGTTCACTCATGATCCTGGTAGTGTACACGTAGCTTATCAAGTTTTTTTTCTTGTAATGTACTCATTGTTGGAAATGAAACATACCCGGTACACTTCCAGGTAAATTTATACACACTTGTGTGGAAATATGGATAACGTAACATGCAGGTAATATTATCACGAACAACGTTATATCAGTGAGGCACACAATACCTACCGCCAGGCAATCGATTATGTGTTATAAATAAATCATTACAGTGTATTGGCCACTCTTCGTTGATGGATTATACGTGTTATTCAAAGTGCGTCATCAAGTTATAAAAAAAACACGCATCACGGCTTGCATAACTTTGCAAACTGTATTCTTAAATATCGTCTATGAGCCAAACAATCCAATGAATTGAGTGACATTATCGTTTTTAAGTCACAGACCCAATGAATCAGTTTATCCTCTCGAATCCACGCAAACTGTGCTTAGCACTGAGGTTGAGGAAAAGTTTAGGGTGTTCGTCTTTCGAGGAAACATTAAAAGAATATATTCAGATACCTCACGTTTACAAAAAAATTAAATACTGAATGTGTGATTATCCCCGTTACAAAATACATCATAGGAAAATAGCACAAATATAACATAAAAAAAACTGAAAAAAATGAAGACATACATATGTGTTTAGAAATAAAGATGTAATGACACGAAAAACAAAGACAGTAACAGCAAACAAACAATAGTTAACAGTTCAAAATACATTAGGCAATTGCAAAAGCGACCTCACGGAATCATTTGAAAACAACACCTGCAAAAGTGTTTAAATGATAACTACCAACTGTATACAGAAGCTGAACACTGTCACAGATTAGCGTAGTTGCTGGCCTTCTCCTCCATCAGCCCACAGCGACGACAGAAGTCATACAGCAACCGCACATCATCCTGCAACATCAACTACCTCATGAAATTATCACACTAAGACGTCAAGGCCTTATTTTCATAATTATATATCTGTCATATGAAAAGTCCAACTAGAACCCCCGTTGTGCTTTCGGGTGAGAGTATGTTCCAAGCAAACTATGATGGTCGTAGGAAGCGACTGTCACTTTCAGGATCTGGTGGACAGGCTCGGTGTTTCTTAGCTTGCTTTCCCTTGGATCATTGCACATGACACTGTACTGTCTGGTTCAGACTGCCGTTATATAACTGGGCTATTGTTGAATGTTGCGTTAAACCAGACTAACAAACAAATGAAAAGAGGGGAAAGACAAGAGGCATATGATAAGCCACGAATGGTCTGCGTACGATGATAACACAAAAGTGAGCATGTGAAACACATAAAGTCATATTTATACTACTTTTGTTTGAACCTGATAATCTGATTACAGACCCAAGTAAACATTCATAAGGCTGATAAGTGGTCAATATGTATTTTTAAAGTGGGTAGCTATGCACGAAAATTCCGTCATTCTACAGGAAGTATCAACAATGCAATTGTGAAGCCTCACAGCATGAGACGGGATTGTGGATGTCGCCACGATAAAAGCTTTGACTGAGGTATTCAGGGTTCGGATTGTCAGGCTTTGTGACATGACTGATTGCTGATTGACGGCGGGGGACGTTTTCACAGTATCAGTCACTGGTTTGATTTGGTCAAATATCTGCATGCCACCATCATACAGCCACCATCATACAGCTGGACTATTGCTTGGTGCATCGTTAAATACCAAACACTCATGAGATAACAGTAAAAGTAGATAGACACCTGTGTAATATGAAAGCCAGGACAACATTTGACGAATGTTCTGACGTGACCGACGACGTCCACACGATGATCGTCAAGGATGCCACAGAGAATGTTTCCCATGATGCAGAGAGATACAGCAGTTTTCCTGTCAACCTCTCTGAAAACATAGAGCGAATGAGTGAGATGATCTAAAGATCCTAAAACAGTTCTCCGAATATACCATCGCATGTCAGGTGACCTTATGAGGAAAGTGACTTGAGACGCAGATGTTTGGCACTGAATTACACATTGAAAATACTGTCATTCTTTTTCAGCTTTAATCGTAGGATGATTTACTGTTTGTCGATACAGAAATAAAAAGAAAGTCGTCAGGGTAGATTTTACCTGTGTAACACCACAGTAGGGTGTGGTTGACACGACATGTGGTGGAGATGGGAGTTGCCAAGGATTAACGTCCCCAAGTCTTCGAGGGTAATCGGACCAGGTATGTGAAGCATCTTCACTGCTCGGGAAATGTCTGTGTTCTGTGACGGAAATCAAGGCTTCTTAATAGACACAAATAACAGAGTCATAAAATTGGGTTTAACGCCCTCTTGAAACAGTATTACAGTCAGATATCGGCGCATTCGATTAATGTGGGATGACAGCTGATGAAAGTGTATGATGTTTACCTCATGTACAATAATGAAGCAACTAAATAATGGCGAATCATGAATTCGAACACGGATACGACAATAAGGAACGCACAGCGTCAAAGGCGACGTATCGGTCGACTCGGTCACCCATGAAAATGCACACTCTTGGGCATTTCATATCTGAAGTTGGTGTATCATTAGTTTAACAAAGCAGCTGAAACTTATATACGGAAACACTTTGAAAATATATATCCGAATTTTGATTTTTTTTGTGGACAAAATGGCCACACAAATCAAATTATATATGCTTCTGTATGAGTTTAGGAATTAGATACTCAAACACATTTTGTTACAGTTATCATTCTTCGTCATTGGAGAAAATACTTCGTTTTTTTGTCCTTGATTTTAGTTGATAATGCGTTTTTCATCGTGTGTCAGTATATGCACGTTTTTTTAAAGCCTGTAATATATATGGATTAGAAAAGAACACAGCTTCGTGTATAAACTCGCACCTTTGTTTCCAGTTTCAAATTCACAAGAGTAAGCCCTGAAGAAAGGTTGGTCTGATTGGTCGCTGTTATCGTTATGCCATCATACTTCCTCTTCTCATTCTCCACTCCAGCTACATCAACCTGAAAACAGAGGTAAAAGTGGACACTTGCTAATGCTGTCACATTGGGTCATCAGTGAAAATATCATCTTTGTCAGTGAGATGTCACAAATGCACTTGTTTACACATTCACAATAATTTATAATAATATTAACACAATGTCCTTCATACGTGTAACTACACTGTAACTTTACTTACACAGGTGTAACAGAGTTCAAGAATCTTCACTTTTTAAGCAACATTACTGTTTCGTCAGGGATGTCATAAAAATGTGTTACGTATTGCAGTTGTAACTTGTTGTTAGTTAATATTAAACACCCTTTGTCTCAGTTATATATGAAACATAATTCCTGTCTTTTAGTAACACTATTGATATAGAATATAAGTGACAAAACCTCTCTATAATCACACGAAATATAATTTAAACACAGAGTCCGTTGTACAATTTCTACTACATCATGGACATGTGTTTATGGGTCACTATCAGCTAGTGATGACACCAGGTGTCTATGTTTAGCTGAGCGTATCTTGCCCTACCGGCGGCATGCTGGAAGCATACTACGTAACACGTGTACAGGTAACTAGTACGATTCCACTTGGTACCTCCAGTGGGGTGACGACGATGATGTTGTGGACGTTATTCTCCTCCACCAGTTTCCACAGCAACTTCACCAACGCAGCCGGCGGCGCAACTGCTTGCAGGTACCCGCTAGCACAGGTCAGGGACTAATGTGAAAATGAACGATAAGTAGTTTCTTATTGCAGATTGGATAAGTGAAGTTTTAATTAATTCTATTCTCGGTATTAGCCAGTGAAACACCCAACCAGCATATCTGATTTATGTATCTCATAGACTAAGAAAAACTGGCATTTACGAATCGAAAATATTAAAGGCCGCGCTTCTACATTGTTGCTTCTGAAGATGAAATATCAATTTCGAACGAATATTTGAGTTTTGTTTTGTTTAAACTTTCAGAATAGATGTGGTATAGAAATTAAACCGAGTCATTTTTGAAAGCTTCATCTTATTGACCCAATGCAAGAACCCACATATCCATCATTCATACTGGTTAGTGAAGGTTCGCGCAGGGTTAATCTAACGCGACCTCCATTGTGGTTTTGTCAGATGTTCATGCAGATAGGTATGATATCAGAATAAAAGACTACTTGCAAGATTAAAGAAACAGATACATGCTCATATAGAGATAGTGTCATCCTCGATTGATTGTAAGATCACATGCATATTTAAAACTCTCGTTTCATTGTTTTTGTTTTTATATTATGTTTATTTAACAACAACCCGCATCAAGCATCTTATGTCCACGTACCGGACCCACGCGGACAATGAAGTCAGGGTTACCATCCACCCACATCCTGTGTCGGGAGGGAGAATCTACAACATTAATATGCTGATCATTCTACTAATGTGTATATTGTAAGAAGAAAAAAACCCAGACCTATGTCCATATTGTACATGTTCAAGATATTTACATTGTCATTAGTGATAAGTACCTCATGTATCTACTTACCATCATTTGGTTCATTTGTAAGCATCTGCAACAAAAATGATTGGTATTCATATTTTCTTTATGAAAGATGACTTCATACTTTATATATATTTAAAATAATGTACAAATTAACGACTGATTTCTGAAAGTGCGGTAGCTACTAGAATGTAGAAAATATTCTACTGAATCATGCGGGAAATGTTCCCACCTAATTGTCATGAGATGTAGTACATGAAAATGATACAGGAAGAAGAAAGAGATGCTTTGTTGTTTTACGTAATAATATCGCAGCACCATGAAATATGTTTGTGTAAACGGTGACTTCATTCTTTGAAAATGTTTTTGGGACAATGTGAATTGTCAGAAGAACTCAATCTAAAGGCTGCTAAGAAGGTACGTGAATAAGTGAATAATTTGTTTTGCCACAGTTTTTCACTACAGTTTGATCAGCAAAACGAGTGACAGAAAGCATAAGCAGCGGTCCATGCCATCGACATACGATTTCTCAGGTGTGTTCATTTATGTGCACATCAGGAACAGAAACGGTATTAAGAGAATAATTTCTTATGAATTACAAGGAGATGGGTGCTGAATAAACGTGACACCAAGATGTAATATGTTCTCTACCAGTGACAGGAAGTATAAGCGAAGGTCACCACCATCGAGACACATGCATATGCAATCAGCCAATCACAATCTGTCCACCCGATTCAATGAAGGGGGAACGAAGGATGTGACATAACGACTTTTTAGTCAGGGAAAAGATATTAAACATATAACTGAATACAAAATACGAGAGGCTAAGTATTGAACAACACTGACAGAAGGATTAATATGTTCTCTGCGGACCGACCTCTGACATCTGTCTGAAAGTCCTCTCGTCCACTGTAGTGTCCATACCACTGTTGCTGTAGCTGTTGGTGAAGCTGTCAACGTTCAGGCTGGTGTTGCCATATTTTGTCATCTCCAGCAGGCAGTGAAAGACACACCGGTACTGCTCCTTCAGGAAAATATAGAACCATAATGCAAGATGTTGGATATTAGAATTGTCTTTTGATTAGAATTACATTAGGTAAGTGAGTGGTTATGGTTCTAAATAGCTCTATCCAAGTTAAAAATATCTTCCTTCAAAGCTGCATAACTTTAGTTATAATTACAACGATTACATGTCACTTCTAGTGCTATACCTTTCTTCCAGCTATGAGCCTCGGGTGACTCACTCACTTTGATACATAATCTCAATACTTGCAAATGAAAAGGGAAATCACTACGATATCCACTTTGAAGCGTAGATACAAATTTTGAACTACAATAGAATAAATCTGGGGCGCCTCCACCATGAAATATTTCATCACGGTGCACTCATCTACTTTATACCTACCGGAGTCTGTATCATGTTCTTCCTCTGCCCCCTCATGGCTGTCACGTACCCGAGGACATCCACCACCCCCTCCACCAGAGCCTGGTCTATCAGGGAGTCCACGGCGATGTATGTGCCTGTACGTCCAATACCCGCGCTGAAATAGTACACACTTATTTGAACATATGTACATAAACGTTCTATACCGATGCTGAAAAAGTCAAAGAAAAAGAACGTTCAATTCTTTATTCATGTACATGTGTATGCCAGCGGCCCATAGTACAATATTTAGTCCATCATTGACAGTTATATGCTTAGTCTTTGGAGTCTAACATTCATAGCATGGTATATAAAAGTTGCAACATTTCTAATAACAGTTTCATTGTTTACCGCCATAAGCATATTGAATTTAGCAAGAGTAGGATGTACAAAATACTTCTGTGGTAAATACTGAAGACGAAGTTCATCATAAGCGTTACAAATTATTAAAAAATGATATTCATTCTCGACATATCTTTGGTTGCAACTATTGCACAAAAAAAAGAACATGAAAGTACGAGCCTGTTCTTCCAATACCGACCATGAGGGAGGCCATGATCATGAATATTCAGCTATAATTATGTACGTCATATTTATTTACAAGGGAACGAGAATCACTATTGTTGTATTTTACGCATAAGTTATGATATGAGGATTTCTTCTGCTAGTTATCGCTGTTAAAGTTTACTTGCAACTGAATGAAAATTATATTTAATGCATCGGTTATGGACTATGCTTAAAACAGAGACAATTTAGGCATTTCCTCTGCTATCTGGCTTTGCCCTCGTGTGTTAAAATTCAGTGAGGCACTCCTTCGATTTACACTGACGTTTGCATTAGAACATTCACTTTTAATACAAAATAGATGGAAGGGAATGAATTTGGTAATTAATTAAACACAATAGAGTATGACCATTGATTTATAAGAGAACATGTTCTATTTGCGTTATCGCCAGTTAAATTGAATTATTCTTGACATTTATAGAAACAGACATTGTATGTTGATCCGATGCATACACTATGCATATTGACACATAGTTGCTGACATGAGGAATGACATGGGGATTTCGATAATATAGACCCAAAGTGAATTAGATTATATACTTCACAAATAACATGACATGACATTTCTTAACCATCGATCATTATATAACACATGAATGTCATGCACCACATACTGATACCTCCTTATCAGTGAGTGAGTTAGGACTGAACGTCGCATCGGCATTATTTCAACAAAATAGTGACGAGAACAAATACACACACGCGCGCGCGCGCACAGACACACGCACGCACACACACACACATACACACAATTGAGTCATGAACAGTTATATTTAAACACAAATTTGTCAAACACATTATGGCTTAACAATGATATTAACAACTGTCTAAAACACGGATTACACGCTACTAGCAACTGTAGTGAGGTCACCTTGCAGGGAATCATGGGGACTTACGGTGCAGGATTTACGTCATCTCTGTAGCTGGTGGTTGTTGTGCACAATACTAACACACTGGTTGATGATAGTTACATTGATTATGAAAGGAACTACATGCCGCACAGGGAACAATCATTTCATGTTGATAAAAGCATCCCACCAAATGTAAAAAAAACAAGTAATTAGCTCCCTCACACAGGTAAAGATCTTTCGGATTTACTGTTTGATAATGGTAATGCTTGACGGTGAACCTTTTATCACAAGAGATACACTTAGAAGATATTCGAGGGCAAACTGACTGTCGCCAGTACGACATCGTCGTATAACGACCTAATCATGTCCTGAATGACAATTCAAGTAGGTATGACCGGTGATTGGTTTAAGTCCGTGAGGTTTATTGATTCCAACCTGGGTTTCCCACCCGATTATAAGTCTTAACCTGTGGTTTAAAATCACTGTACAGGATAAGGAATGGAGATCAAGAGCTTATTTAGCTGCAGCATAATTGTAAAGTTCTAAAATGTCTAAGATTATGTGATGATTTAAGCGATTTTAAGTGCCTGAAGGCAAGACAATGGATCTAAAAAGATGATGAAGATTCTAGAATGGTTTTGTTGTTTGATATAGGTCAAAGCTGCCAAGATAGCTTTGGCCTCAGCAGTGAAGATTGAACGAGTACCTTGGATTCTTGAGGAGTTTTGGATCCAATGACTTTGCCACCATCCTTGGACCCATTTGACTGATTTGAATGTAATTTTGTTATGAATTGCAGTGATAAATTTATGCCTTCCACATACAAATTGTCCATATTAGAGGTCCTAAAAGCTCTAAGACAGAGCCTTAGGCCTTTGTCGTGGATAGAGCCGAATTTTCTGAGCTCCTACATAGAAAATGGAACCGTAGTACCTATGGATCTAGTACCTCCATATCAGACCGTAATTCAATATAGCAAGAAAAACTCTCTAAAGCAATGATAATTTGTATGGAATGGTCAATCCCAAAACAAATTCAAATGGTACAGTATGACTTATGGGTGTCTAACTGCAGTTGACGAGGAGCTATTCGTTCTTTTGAGTTCCAACTTACTGACTTTCAACTATCTACCAACTACTGGACAAACAACGTCTCATCCTTCTGAAGAACAAATGATTAACTTATCAGGAGCCGACAAGGTTTGGTCCATCTGTCTGTGTGACTGATGTCTACCTGCAGTGGACGAGCAGTGGTCCGTCTGTCTCTGCAACTGTCTCTCTGACCAGCCAGATGTAGTTGACGAGAGCGAGGGTGTCGGGAACACCATGGTCAGGCCATGATGTAAAGTGGAATTGCACAACTGACCGACTCTCTTCAGTCTGTGGTAGAAAGATTTAGATCTCATGATACAATAAACGCCAGAGGATATCCAATCTCAATTATCCACCGAAAAATATTCTGTTGGGTCTAAACGCAAAATAGCAGTGAGTGAGTTGGGTTTAACGCCGCTTTTAACATTATTCCAGTTATATCACGGCGTTAAATAGCAGTGAAAAGTATGTGAATGGATCGCTGAAAATTATTGATGACGCTTGGTGTTCGCAAAAAAGGGTTGGCATGTCCTGCCCTACCGGTAGCACACACTACTCACAAAATTTGCATAGTTTGTTCATTGTCTGACGCAACACAGCAGTACACTTGCCATGCGATGGCAAATTCAAATCACAAAATGACTGTAAACAACATGTTATTCAGGACGTTATGCAGATACTCACTTTGCAAGACGTCACCTTCATATGTCTCAATGTAAAGTTTGCACGGCTTTGTGTGACTTCAACTTCCACCCGGAAGAGGTCTGTGTTCAAGACGCCACGTGACGGCCAATACTGTTCACATTTTACCTGAAATATTATGTTGACAATATTATACCTCTTCTCGCTGTAAGACACTTTTACTTTTTATTGACGGGGGTATGCACTCGGGAGGCTAGGAAGTTTGTTGACACAGGGATTTGATTTTTTAAGTCCTTCGAAATATCCCTTCTTTGATAGGAGGAACCAAACAATACTGTATATCTAAGGACATCCATCATGCCCCACAAACAATATTTTCTCGTTATAAAGCCTCAGGCGATGTTATTTGTTTTAAGTATTAACAAAATCCCCACTTCACTCAGAATGTCAAATAGTCTGTACCTCAGAAAGTCCAGTTGTTATAAATCATGATTGCTCTTGCCTACCTTACGCTCCTCCACGAGACCAGTCAACATAACTATCTGGCTGCAGGAACGTTCCCAGATCATCCTCCAGAAGTCTCCCACTGTCTTCTTATTGGGGGCTACAAAATCACACTTAACACGGGTATTGCATTGTTATAATCCATTTTGATATTTCAAGTAAGTGAACCATATACACACATTGATCGTAATTAGGTTTAGAGCATTAGTGTTTATGATGACGGCATTGATTGATATGTGAACTTAAATATCCAATACTCGCTCCCACAGAATAAAGAACAAGACTATCATTGTTGTTTTGAATTTGCCAGATTTGTCCAGCTGTGACTCTTGTGATATGATGGTACTTTTGCATGTTTTTGTTTTAATTATGGAATCTTTGATTAAATGTATGGTTAGAATATATGACCTCGGAAGAGAAAATAGTTTGTTTACGTGGGATGTTTCAAAGCATACCCTCTAGAAAAGATTTTCTATGCCAAACGCAAATGCACATGAACAATATGAACACTGAACAATTAAATTCTATGAACTGATATATTGCTTCGTGTCGAAGCTCAGGAATTTGAATAATTGAGAATTGTGTTTGCTGTTTGTAAATGGGGGCACTCATGACACAGTGTGTTTTGTTTTTGTTTTTTGGTTTTTTTGGGAGGGGGGGTTAGGGCGGTATTCAACATAATGTAGTGTGTGTAGATCCGAACAATCATCTACAACAAACCTTGAGCGGCGATGTAGTTTCTCCTTAGATTAAAACTCTGGAACAGAACAAAAACACTGCGATTATGTAGCACGTAAAACGATTATTGAAGGATTCAAAACACAAGAGAAACATTAATTATGTAATGTTATTTTGCACAGTGACAGTGCTGCTTTATCTGAGCTACAACTTGTGGCAAAATATAACGGAAACTACCCCTACGTGCATGAGACTGGCGTTGATGTAGTCAGACCCGGGAATGTTGGGAAGAGGAGTCAGGCGAACACGGTTGTGGTCATCTGCAACAGGAGTGAGTGAGTGAGTATGGTTTTACGCCGCTTTTAGCAATATTCAAGCAATATCACGGCGGGGGACACCAGAAATGGGCTTCACACATTGTACCCATGTCGGGTATCGAACCCGGGTCTTCGGTGAGACGAGCGAACGCTTTAATCACTAGGCTACCCGACCTCCCTTCTGCGATAGGAAAGGAGAAACAAGGAATGTATTAGTGTACCATTGCCAGAACATACAGAGACACAACACATCCTAAACTACAGCTACCTTCACTCACATGGATAGTATTCTCGGAACTTGTTTTTGCCACTGTTCTCAGCTTTCTGGGAGTCTTCATACGGGGCCGTGAACCCAGCCGGAAGTAGCTGTGGGCAAAATCAAGCGTTTCAATAATCATGTAATACCACGGCTATGTTTGAGTAGTCTGAAGAGGAAGAAGTTTTCAGCTGCAGTTACAATTGCTGACAGGAACATTACATACTATACATGCATGAAGTTAAAGTTTTGGTTTGTCTCGGACCGGATGTTGGCTGCGTTCCTCCATGTTATATATGTACATGGCTCTGCTATACACTAGAAATAGACCCGTGAAGGTCCGGCGTAGAATAGGTCTTCAGCAACCCATGCTTGCCGTAAAAGGCGATTATGCTTGTCGTTAAAGGCGACTAACAGGATCGGGTGGTCAGGCTCGCTGACTTGGTTGATACATGCTATCGATCCCAATTGCGTGGATCGATGCTCTTGATGTCAATCACTGATTATCTGATCCAGACACGATTATTTACAGACCGCCGTCATATAACTGGAATATTGCTGAGTGCGGCGTAAAATAACATACCAGCCACTAGAAATAATTACCCCATCATATGCCGTATGAACAAGCTTGCAAACCAGGGCCAGCATGTACGGTAACATACCCCATACTCCTTTTGGAACCCGTCTTTCCGCTCTTCAAGTATAGCTATTGTTGCTGCTAGTTCCCGCACAAGGATTTTACTGGTGTCGGCGTTAGCGTATAGAACACAGGAAACGTCGTCTGCGACTGCTCCTTCCTCTGGATCGTCACGGTTCTCCGCCTCAGCGGGAATGCCTTAAATGTTTCAGGTTTATTTAGGGTTTATTGGAATTAATTCGAATCATGTCAAGATTTTCTATCATTGGTAGGCAAGATGGTCATAATCATCAATCAAAAAGCCTGAATATTTAGTTCAACATTAAGCAGAACAATACCATATCATACAATGTGCTGCTGAAACTGGTATACATGATTATGATTCATGATCTCCATCTTACCTTGCACACTTGGTGGTTGATGTTCAGCAATCTGTATGTCACCCTCGTTGTCCAGAGAATTATTTGCCTTTCTGTACAACAGAAGACAAACATTAATCTCAGTTTTTCTTCGCATCATATCCGCAGAAGAATGTGCAGAACCGTTTTAACTATTTTTCATATAACATAGTACAACAGTTCGGTAATAATCATAATTATCATGTTTATTATGTAAACACACAGCATGGCTCTTTAACGCCAGCTATATCAGATGTTGCCAGCTTGGATGAATAAATACTACAAGTATTTATAAGTGGTCCATGTCTGGAATACAACCCATTGGCTTCGTAAAAAATGGATTTTGATGTAACTAACTTTCAGCATTATTGATTTTTTACAAACTTTCTTTTAAACCAGGTCATGTAGTTCCCCATTCATGCAATAGTTTATGCACTTGCACCTGACATAGGGGGAGGGCTGACCAACGTCATGTGATCAATTAATAATGTAATGACACGTGCTCTATACATAAGACGTCTTTACAAAATTACCTTCCGGAGACCTAAAATCTTGCCCATATGTTAGCACCTGCTGTCAGCCCTCGTTGAACACGTGCACCGCTGAATGTCCGGGAAGTAATTGGTGCTCCGTCGACCAGGGTCAAACAAGACATACGGTTTGGCTGCACCGCACATACTTTCAGGTTTGATTGACATTTGTGGATCAGCTACGTTAACGGTCGCAGATTTGCACAGGGGGTTTCCGCGTGTTAGATCAGATTATACCCAGGGCCTCATTTAAAATATGCTTTGAAAGTTGAGGCTTATAATATATTGCTATGGATGTCAGTAAAAAGAGATAAGTGTAATGAAATATGCATTCTGTACATCTGACCTTCCGCAGGCAATCACGATGAAGAAGACAGTTGTAGCCACCAGAAGGCCCGTTGCGCCTCCTACTATGACAAGCATGAGGAATCCTGGTGCAGAAGAACTTCCGGAAGTACCGTCTTCTGTGCAAACACAAAGGCATGTTCAACTGGATATCAAACTTGTAGTTGTATACCATCCCAACTTATTGTGCATATAGACATGTGACACTGGACATTTGATATATGGGACGTATAAGGATATACACCAGTGCCACGCCCAACACCAGGGTTGAATCCCCACATGGCCGGAAAACATCCCATTTTTATTGTTCTGAATATTGATAAAGGTGGTGTAAAACCATACTAACCAACTCACCCCTTAAGTGGCAGTAGTATGCGTCATACACCACTCACACAATACGTCATTAGCTCAAATAGCATTTTCTACTAATTCGATATTGCGAATATTGTGCCAGATGCAAATTGTTTTCTTTGACCCGGTTTAAATGAATCATGTTAATTAATATTTCTTCTATATCCTAAAATGACAATGTAAACTATGCCGGTTAATGTCACGTCCACGAGAAAATGACACACTATGCTTGGGAAATAAAATATTTATTAAAACGAAAATCTTACCAAGTGAACAATCTTTTCCGTTCCAGCCACTTTCACAACCCTCGGAACAATTCCCTGTCACAGGATCACATGTGTTATTTGCTCGTTTGCAGTGGCGGGTGGCACATGCCATTTTGCATCCATCACCGTAGGTTCCATTGCCACAGACTGAAAGAAACAGTTCACATTGTATTCTGTCGTTTACTATAAATACCTGCATTATAATAACATCCATGTTATCGCCAGTTGCCCAGACAGGAGTAGAAACAGGCCACATTGTATTTACTATTCATTTACTATAAAAATCTGCACCTTCATGACATGCATATTATCAACATACCGTCTGTGCCGTTGTGTGGTGTCAAGGAACATATGGCTCAATATATTTAAAAAAAGCAAATGTGTGATGTATAAACTACAGATAAACTTCATTCGTTCTTTATTAAACCCTAGCTGTATGGCCAAAAGTATCTCACCTTGTGAACAATCATTTTCGTACCAGCCACTTTTACAGCCATCGGGACAATTCCCTGTCACATCGTTGCATGTGTCACTGGGAATCTTGCAGTGGCGAGTGGCACATGCCTTGTTGCATCCTTCACCGTAGGTTCCATTGCCACAGACTGAAAGAAACAGTACACATCGTATTCTGTCGTTTATTAAGAATATGTGCATTATACTAACATACATGTTACCGACATACCATCTTATCATGTGTTTAGTATCCAGGACCATATCGCACAATATATATTAGAAGGAAAAGAGTGCTGTTGAACTTCCACCGAGATCAAATTCAACAGTTCTCTGAAACTATCTTACCATGCAAACAGTCGGTCCCATTCCAGCCACTTTCACAGCCTTTGGAACATAATCCTGTTACATGATCACATGTGTCATTTGGTGTCATGCAGTGACGATTGACACATGACTTGTTGCAGGCATATCCGTAGCTTCCATTTTCACAGGCTTGAAGAAACAGTACATACAATAAATATCTGCGCTTTCATGGCATACATACAAAGAACGTATCATTTTCCGATCTGTTTATAGTTTTCAGGTGCATATGTTATGGATTAAAGAGCATTGTTCAAACTACAGTTTAAATTGACCCGACACAGAACCACCATATGATCATGAGTTCCATCTACAAAATATATCTTACCAAGTGAACAGTCATTCCGTCTCCAGCCACTTTCACAGCCTTCGGAGCAATTCCCTGTCACATGATAACATGTATCATTTGCTCGTTTGCAGTGGCGATTGGCACATGCTTTATTGCACCCATCACCGTAGGTTCCATTGCCACAGGCTGAAAAAAACCAGTACAAATTGTATTCTGTCGTTTATTATGAATATCTGCATTATAATAACATACATGTTTTCTCCAGCTGCACAGGCAGGAGTAGAAACAGTAAACTATTAACAGTGATAAATTGATTATCTGCATTGTACAATTATTGTTTAGCCTAGAATGACATGACTGTATGCATAAGACACCTCTCAGGTAGACAAGCATATACATAACGATTTCTGGAACAAAGGCGCGATGCACACGAAACAGAAGAAGTTTCAACGGTACCTGTACCACTCGTCCCATCGGTCAAGCGAGAAAGGACACATGATGAAACCCACGAAATGGTTGTTGTGAATGGTTATTCAAGGATACAAAAAGTGTATTCCAGCCCACTGATCATAGTGGAACCTTTGTGAACCGTGCTAGTCGTCATATCATGCCAACAATCGTTTTATGAATGGTTAGTAAATGGCTATAATACATCTCGAATAAATAAACAAAAAATTATCAGTGAGTTATGGATGTACGAGGGGTGTTCATTAAAGATTTCCCCTGACCCACTTCCGATGGAACTAGTGGAATGAAACTTGGCATAGGTATTAGTCTTTTTCCACATAGGAACCACCACGAGTTACACACTTTAGTCTCAGGATCATAGTGATTGACCCATGTTTAATCCTGTGTGATAAGTCTGTCAAAAAAGTTTGCCTGGTTTTCTTTGGCACATGTCCAAAAGGTCCTTTGAGCAATTGACTCGTTCCTGCTTTTGGAAAGGTGTGAGCAACCTAGGAATCCATCGTGCAGAAACCTTATCAAAGGATACCACCTTCCTAAGAAAACGTCCAAACATTAACATCGAGACAACAGTATCTAAATATAACAGTCATATGGTTGGTTTGCAGTTTCTACCCATGCATTTTTAAAATAGCAAATAGACAAGTATTCCCTTAATTCATTGTTATTCATCAAATACACCTATGGTAGAGATATTTACATTTAGTTAATTTCCAGCTGATGGGTTCAGATCGTTGAAACTCAACCGGAAAGCTAGTCATAATGCGTCAGAGATATTGGCTAATTAATATTGTGTTGTAGTTTGTATTATTATCTAAATGTTCTTAAAACACTTACCCCACACCTGCACTTCAACAAAGTCTAACACAGGACCTTCTTTATCATTACTTGTCACTGTATATACAGTCAGGTAGCGCCACGTCCCAGGACAGGTCACATTGAGAACGTCAGGGATGTCTGTACCATCAGGACGCCCTGTTACATTGTAGCATAGAGTTCCTCCTTTGGGATGCGATGGATTTGTCATAGATGTGTAGAGTCGTACACCATTACGTCTAACCTTGTCTGAAACAAGTATATATATATATATATATATATATATATATATATATATATATATATATATATATATATATCACGTTTATACTTAAGTTATTGTAGTCAATAACTATAACGAGACATCCTGCAGTGTAGAAATAGATTTGAATTACATTTAGAAACATTGCATCTGACAATGGCATAGAAACTATGGCATATGTACGACGATAGGGAAGAACAATCCAGCCATTTCACGAATGTGGGATGCGTCATGTGACGCATGTTATGTAATGTTCCGGTAGACAACTACACAAAAAGTATATTTCACTCGACATATGAAATATCCTCTTCGGAGTGCTCAACTGCCTTCACCCGTCACTGACACAATTTTCATTTACGCCAAACGCCAAACTCAACATAACTCCATCCATATGGTGAGGGCTTAAAAACAACCTAATGATTGATAATTTGACCTAAGACGACACAGTATCAACAGAGTCACCGAGCCTTGTACCACCAGTAGGTTGTTAGTGGCCAATTTGGCCAACCCAAAAATTACAAATCTTCGTCACTGACAGCAAATTCACTGAGGCGCTCGTAAAACATCAAGTCTTGTGGCTTATCTTGTGATGAATGATGTATATCAGTTTTCTGGTGAGAGATTGTAAATGGGAACACAACAAATGTAAAATATTTTAGTTTCCTCGAAGAACTGATTACATCATCTTTGCAGATGATCTTAAGATACATCTGTGTGACTTGACTACTTGCAGTCTGAGAGAAGTAAGACGTTGAGTTCCACCCGTGTCCTTCCAACAACAATAACTCGTTTATAGAGAAGTCATTGTCACTTTTTCACGTGTGAAGTTGGATTGAATATTCTTGAGTACACTAATGAAGTGTTGGCGGCTTTGAGCTCGCTTTAAAACTTGTAAATCTGCTGGGGTTGATTGTGTTATAGCTGAAATGCTTAAGTACTCATTACCTGATATTATCCCTTTTCTGGTTAAATGTTTCAATCGAAACAGGTGATACAGGTGTTTTGTCCTGTCTGGTCAACATCTATTATGATTCCGTTATTCAAGAATGGTAACGTAAACAATCCTGACAATTACCGGTCTCTCACGAGTATTCTTGTTAAAGCATATACTTGTATCATCAATGATAGATTAACAGTGGTCAAATATAAGAGATTTGATCCCTGAAACACAAGCGCGATTTCGAAAGGACTATTTGACTTTTGACCACATATTTACTTTGTATGCAGTCATTGAGAAATATTTATAATAAAGAAAACGTAAGTTGTATGTGGCCTTAGTTGATTTTAAAAAAGTCATTTGATTCTGTAAATAGAGCTAAATTGTTGAGCTGTTTGAAAAATAAGGGTTTAGGGGGCAAAAGGTTTGCCATTGTTAAGTCAATGTATGTAAAAGTAAAACCATGTGTTCGTTATGGTGTTCCTAAAAGTGGTTTTTTTTATTGCGCGATAGGCTTACGCCAAGGATGTGTTTTAGGTTCTATTCTTCTCATTTTTTTATAAATGAGTTATATGTTGATATCATGCAGTCTTGTAGACATGACGTCCAGCTCTTCCCTGAGATACTTGAACATTTCATGCTACTTTTTGCAGATGATGTGATTTTGATGTCTTGTATTTTTATTGGTCTACATAAGCAGCTTAACATACTTTCGCAATAATCAGATTAAAGGAAAATTAGTGTTTAACTTGATAAAACAAATGGTCGAGTGGCCATAAGGGAGAAATGGTTGTTTTTTTAAGGTAAATGTATCAATGTTGTGAATGAATAGAAATACTTTGGCATATTGTTTACCCATACACTGAATCTGAATAAGTCAGTAATTAATCTCACAAGCAGAGCAAAGAATGCTCTGTTACAAGTCCACTCTGTTATCTCTAAGCTTTGAGTTATTTCACCGAAAATGTATTTCAAATTATTTGATTCTCAAATACAACCTATTTTACTATATGGGTCTGACATATGGGGTTCTAAAGAGTTCTATACAATTGAAAAGGTTCATCTCCTCGCCTGTAAAACGTTTTTGAATGTTGGTATGTCAACACCAAGTAATATGGTTTATGGATAATGTGGGAGATTCCCAATGTACATTATATCTTACACTCGTTGCTTGAAGTATTGGTGTAAAATAATGATTATGCCTGAACACCGTTTACCTAAGAAAGCCTACAACACCTCGATAGTCTTGGAAAGAACACATGGGCTTTTTGTAATATAGCTTTTTACAAATGGCTTTGGTTTCATTTGGCTGCCCAAGACAATTGGTAATGCAAATGTTTTCATTAAGTACTTTCGCATGCCGGCCATTGATATGTTTCATCAGAAATAGCATTCAGATATTTACGAAAGTTCAAGATATGATACTTTTCGCCAGTTCAAGTCATTTGCTTGAACCGGAAACTTATGTATCAAACTTACGGTATATAGGAATTTTCGTAACATCATTATTCGTTTTAGACTTGGCCTGAATGATCTAAAAATTAACACAGGAAGATTTCCATCTGTTGAGAAATCCCTGAGGTTATGCCCATTCTGTGTCATTGATGTCGAAGATTAATACCATTTTATGTGTATTTGCCCTATATTCGAAAATCTAAGAAACAAGTACTTACCGCAGTGGTCTTTATCTCATGTTAATGCTATAAGATTGTCTTCATTACTGTCCTGCAAGGATCTTCTAACACAACATCAACTGGCTTTGCACATACATACTGCGTTTTCGTTACGAAGTGAATTGTTACCTTGACTGTGTATCGTATAAAATATGTTATGTAACTCCGTTGTATATTGGCCTGTGACCTTTCATACAATAATTCGTTGATAGAGAAGTCATTGTCACTGTTTCACGTGTGAAGTTGAAATAAATGTTCATTTGTACACTAACGAAGTGTTGGCGGCTTTCATGAGCTGAGAACCTACCATTATTGTATTTATCATAGATCTTTGCGCATGTGACAATACTCACGGTCTGTTCTGAAGAAGATTTTAACCAATGGCAACTGAACTTCCATCTGTAGATCGACCTTCCACCAAGCCATGGATTCACTTTCCTTCGTGTGGGCTGAGAACTTATGTTTATCCGCGGTAGTTATCCCATCAACAGCTTGACTTGCAGTCAATGAAGATTCCCTAGTTGTGCTCATCCACGCTGGTTTGTTCTGTGCAACGTTCAACCTTTCACCTGGAACAGTGATTTACTGTACTTGATATCTTAGCATCTGTATAAACCCTTAATCCATAGCATGACAATCCTCAAGGGAAAATATTGCTGGAATGCATAATGCATAAAGCTGCTCCTGATGAAAAATAATCTTATTTAAAGATACAATAGATTACTGTTTGACAACAGATGTAGACTACACTTTTCTACATAATTACTCACCTCACAACTGTGTTGCTAAAAAAGGTTCATTACATGAAAAATAGTACTTGTTTAATATGTGGGGCGGGATCACTATGACTGCCAGAATGCCCCTGCATATAGTGCAAGAAAGTGTCACAGGACAGTACTATCGAGAAAACATACCGGTGCCATGCTGGTCCACGTTGTGGCTTTCAAGACGATAACGCTAGTGTCCACCGTACCCATAGAACTTACCTATTCACAGAGGCCCCCAGATACAACAGATACAAGTGACAATGTGTCTAAATATACCTAACCCCCACACATAAAGTGTCTCGTATTTGAACAATGTAAACATTAAACCCACTATCATTGTTAATAGTTCATCGAAATAGATTGCTCTATGTTCTGTTCCCCAAATTATTTAATATCTTTGAAAGTGTGTATGCTAGTATTCAATCGGTAGTTATTATTGATAAAAGTAAGGAGTTGTCAAATTATTTCACATGATCCAGTGGTTATGCTAGGTATGTAAAATAAGTCGTTAATTATTTTTTTATGTATATCAAATGACTTGCTGAATTTATGTCTGATGATGGTATTTATATCTCTTAGCAAGTGTTACATATTTTTGGTATATTGTTTGCATTAAAGTTACAGAATCGTCATTTACTAGATGTGTACTCAGTGAAATGTGGAACGGATATAGATAGCAATAAATGTTAATACAGTGTGCTTAATATGATGGACATCTGTGAAGGTATGAACATTCGGACATAAAGATATACAGTAAACTACGGTTATAACGAACTCAAAGGGACCACGTTATTTAGTTCCGTATAACCGTAGTTCATTATAAGCATAAATACAGGATTTATACAGCAAATGCCAGGGACCAAAAACATTACGTCTATCCGTTAGTTCGTCATATGCGTTTTCGTAATAAACATAGTTTACTTTCTAACATAAAGAGTTTAAGATTGTTCATTATTTAGTTACCGACGATAAAACAGTTCTTAAATTATGTGCCTGTATTAAGTCTCTTTTAGAATGTAAGTCTTATTTGACTGAAAAAAGTTTTCCATTGCAGACAAAAGTCTTCATTAAATTTCGGTTTTAACTAATTTGGAATGCAAAGTGTCCGCAGGGGAATATACACTTCGAGTGATGCTGATTTTTTTTGTATTGAATGGAATGTGTTTAAAGATGAGAATCGACTGTCCTTCATATGCTGATGTTTACTGTGCAAATTTCAATGTCGAGGTGACATGTAGCGTATGTTGTACCTCACGTATGTTACATGTATTCATTGTCATGTAATATGGGTTAAATGACATTACATAAAATAAACATCTTGGATTTCATGAGTATGCCCTCAACCATGTAAACACAACATCGTCCACAGTTTGCCCCATGATCAGAACAATGTACAGACACTATTATCCACTGATTATGCCAACTGTGAAGAGTCCCCTTCTATGATTAGAACACTGTACACACACCATTATCCTCTGGTCAAGTGTAATCTTCTATGATTAGAAAAATGTTCGTACACCTCTTTACACTGTTGATGATTATACCTACTGTGGAGTGTACCTTTCTATCATTAGAACAATGTACACATACCATAATCCACTTTTGATAATAGCTACCGTGAAGTATATCCTGCTCTGATGAGACTCCATCGTCATTGATAATGCATCCTTCATGTTAACCCTCCTCTTTTTCAAACCTCGCTAATGATTTCCTGCTATGTGTCATGAGCGTGTTACAGCCCTATGCCCAGTGGCTCATGGGCCAATCTGGTGGTGCAGAATTATTTTCCTTTCGACATGGCCTCCCAACACCCTGGTTCACATTGAATCTGATGAGACTACTACGCCCACTCGATCCGACTATTGGCCATGTTTCTTGGTTTAAGAAGCTTTGGACAAAGAACAATCAAACTTAAAAAAATTGAAAACTCCAAAGGTATCATTGGTATCTGCGGAGAGGTTCCAAATGTAACAAAGCTTCGTTCTGGCTCTCTCCTTGTAGAGTGTACACGGAGACAACAATCTATCAATCTTCTCAAATTAGATGAGTTTGTCAATATCGAGGTTGTTGTCTCAGTGCACAAGACACTGAACTCGCGTAAGGGCATTGTCCGTGACAGAACTCGCTGCCTGTCCAGCATGTCCGAAGAAGATATAGTGAAGGAACAACAGTCGGTCACAGCTGTCAAACGATTTACTTTCAAGCAGGGTGGTGTGGTCCAACCAACCAACACCTACCTCGTCACTTTCGCCCGTACGTCTATCCCTCAATCGATCAAAGCTGGTTATTGTAACATCGGAGTGGAGATGTACATGTATATCCCCAATCCACTCTGGTGCTACACCTGCTAAGCGTTTGGACATGAATCCAAGTCCAGACATGCCTCCACTGTTTGTTGCCACTGCGGTGACAAGCAAGAGGCCACTATAACTGCAAGAAGGATGTGAAGTGAACAACGATGGGAACCATATGGCGTCTGCAAAACCCCGTCCTGTGTGGAAACGTGAAGCACAAATTATAAAAATCAAAACTTAACAGAATCTCTCTAACCACGAAGCTAAGAAGATGGTTGTAGGTCTTAACAAAACAACTTCTACTCTATCCTACTCTGCTGCTGTCTCTCGTCCTCCTGTTACCACTGCTTCTATCGACTGCCAGGCTGATCTGAAATGTGCCAAGTCTGTCCAGCCTCTTCCTACTGCTTCACTCATTAAACCAGCTGTGACACCTTCGTCTGTGACTCCACCCAAACCAAAAACTGTCAAACCTATTGAGTCTCAGACTCCCACACCAGTTACTGATCCAGAACCAGAACCAGAACCAGAACCAGTTAAACTTTCTAACAAGGAAAAAACGATTATGAAAAAGAAGCAGCAAAAAGAAGAGCTGCAAACACAAAAGGCTACCTCTCCTTACCTTTAGAGGTTCCAGTGGAGGTCCATAACTCCTTTGACATGGAGGTAACTCCCTCTCCACATGAAACCGATAGGAGTACCACCAATTCTTTCTCACGTTCGCGTGACATTTCTCCTGTGGAAGCACCACCATAGTCGCCTTTTACGGCAAGCATGGGTTGTTGAAGATTTACTCTACCCCGGATCTTTATGAATCCACAAAACATAATACAATCGAATTGCACTATTCTTAAGAAGACTTTTAATGAAATACAACTTTTAATCCAAGATTTTGAACCGTCAGCTTTTTGTCTCCAAGAAACATTTCTAAAAAACACAGATCTATTTGATATCCGCCAGTACAGTTCTTATAACTCGTTTTCCCCTCCTGGTGATAAAGCTACAGGAGGTTCATTTATCCTGGTGAGGCAGGGCATTATCCATAGCCCTGTTCAACTCAATACTACTCTACAAGCTATTGCTGTCCGTGTTACTTTGAACATGATGTTTACACTGTGTTCACTGTATCTTCCACCTTCCTCAACAACCATCAGCTCCCGAAGCCCTGTATCATCATGGGCGATTCAAATGGCAATAACCCCCTATGGGGGAGTACTGATACAAATAATAAGTGAAAAGTTCTTGAAGATTTTATCTCAAATAATGATTTATGCATCTTCAATGATGGTAATAACACATATCTTCATCCTGGCACATCCACTGGCACATCCACTGGCACAGACTCTGCCCTAGACCTGACAGATTCAATTATCTTAAATGAATTCGAATGGTCGGTCCATGATGACCTTTTGTGGAAGTGACCATTTTCCAACAATACTTACAACTATCTTTCCGTCTGACAAACCACCTTCAACAAGGTGGAATTTTACAAAGGTCAATTGGTCTTTATTCAAAACACTTTGTTCTGAAAAACTAAACCTCGACACTTGCAGGAATGTTCCTGATCCTATTCAATTTTTTTCAGATATATTAAATTATATTGGAGACGAAAGCATTCCTAAGTCCTCTGCAAACCCCCAAATACGTAAACCATTTTCGATAATAATTGTAAACAACCTAGAATAAATAGGAAGAAAGCTGAGAAATATTTCCGCCGACATCCAACTGTCCACAACCTAAACAACGTTAAAATCAAAGCGAGACGTACTTTTAAACAATATAAACTGGAGGAACTCTGTGTCAAAAATCAATTCCCGCACACCCATGTCCAAGGTGTGGAACATGATTCAAAAGATTAAGGGCAAAGGATCCAAATCTGGAGTTCATCATCTCAAAGACGGTAATACACTTTTAACTACTAAATCCGAAATTGCCAACACTTGGGCAAACCATTCCTCATCATCAAACTATAATCCTCATTTTCAGAGGATTCAAAAACAACAGGAAAAGAAAAAAGTACATTTTAACTCTGATGATGGTGAGCACTATAACGAAACATTTTCACTCCATAAATTATGTACTGCCCAAGGGCAATCTCATGACACTGCACCAGGAGCCGACAACATCCACTATCAGCTCCTGAAACACTTGCCCAATTCATGTTTGGAAATGTTACTTAATATATTCGATGAAATATGAACCGGAAACCTTCCTCCTTCGTGGCACAATGCTATTATTATTGCCTGGACGGGATCATACAGATCCATCCAACTACCGTCCAATATCATTAATTACATGTAGCTGTGTTTGTAAAACCATGGAGCGCATGGTCAACAATCGATTAGTCTGGCACCCTGAGACCAATAACCTCCTGAGTGACATCAAGTGTGGTTTCCGAAGTACCACTGACCATTTGGTGCGTTGAGAGTCGTTTATTAAAAATTCCATTGTCAACAAGCAACATACTGTATCAATATTTTTCGATCTAGAGAGGGCATATGATACAAC